CGACTTTTTCTTGCCCAAGAATTGTATAATCCACTTTCTAGTGATGATGGTGTGACCGATTTTAAAATTGGTGCTATTTGGTCTATGAAATTCAGCAAGGACGGGAAGTTCTTGGCAACAGGTGGTCAAGATACGGTTGTTAGGGTGTGGGCTGTTATCTCAAGTGACGAAGAACGGGAGCATTTTCTTGAAGGAAGTGGGACGAGTGTATATGAAGGTATCAGTGGCGCAAAACTAGGAGCTCCTGTTTTTCGCGATAAACCATTGTATGAATATCGCGGGCATACGGCTGATATATTGGACCTGAGTTGGAGTAAGGTGGGACAAATACCATCTTGTGTGTATTATTCTATTATCACATTATTTGATGATTAATATGTTGAATGTAATTTTGTTTAGAACAACTTCTTACTTTCTTCATCAATGGACAAGACCGTGAGGTAATACATCTAATTTAATATTTTTCCTTAGTCACGTAGAGTATACTTTTGCCAACAACTTGATGGCTTTAATATTTAATTACAGATTGTGGCACATGACTCGTAAAGAATGCCTGTGCTGCTTTCAGCATACTGACTTTGTCACGGCCATTGAATTTCATCCAAAGGTTTATATCATAAAGTCATACCATTTGATATTATGCATTGCACGGTTTCGGTATGATAATTGTGGTAGCTTATACTGAAATTTGCTGACGCTGAAATCTGAGATTTTATTTAAATCTATAATACCCACTAAAATCTACCTATACACTCTTATTAGTAATCTAATCCCAAATTCTAACTTAAACCTAAAAAAAAAAAAAATTTAAATCTTGTAATAAAAAAATAGTTCAGAATCTCAGCATCAGTCAATCTCAGCATCAGCTGCAACAATAATTAATCATATTTATAATTTAGGATGATCGATTTTTCCTTTCGGGATCATTGGACTGCAGATTACGTCTTTGGAACATACCCGAGAAAAGAGTCTCCTCTTGGAATGAGCTTAACGATTCTCAGTTAATTACTGCTGTTGGCTTTGCTCTTGACGGTAAAATAGCTGTTGCTGGAAGTTTATCCGGAAAATGTCTTTTTTATGAAACGGACGGGTTGAAATATAATACACAAATTCATGTGAAAAGTGCGCGTGGCAGAAATTCACAGGGTAAAAAAATAACTGGAATTGAGTCAATGCCGGGAACTCTTCCTGGCCAAGAAAAGGTGAGTTATTATAAGCAATGTTATTATTAACAATTATAAAGTTTTTTAACGAAATCTCTTGTCAATCAGCTATTGATAAGCTCGAATGATTCAAGGATTAGATTATATAATATGCGGGATAAATCTTTGGAATGCAAATTTAAAGGACTTGAAAATACCAGTAGCCAAATCCGGGCCACGTTTAGGTGAATACCATATGTAATTGATCGTTTAAAGTTTCCAGGCTTATTAAAAATTTAATCATTATATAGTGATGACGGGCGTTATATTATATGTGGTTCTGAAGATAGACATGTATATATCTTTAACACAGATCAGTCTAGCATAAATTCAAGTCATGGAAATGGCAGCAACTGGCTAAAAAAAGAAAAGTGTGGTTATGAAAATTTTGAGTGTATGTGTAATCATATTCATTTTGCATAAAGAATTAGGTATCAATTCATACTAAATCTTATTATTCCCTAATACAGCACATTCCGCTATAGTAACAGTCGCCATATTTGCACCTACTCGTACAAAACAATTAATTAGTCTTTGTGGTGATCCAATTTTTGCACATACTGTTAATAATGAAAATACAGCTAATCAAACTTATCCTGATGGCAATATAATTGTTTGTGCTGATTATACTGGAAGTATAAAAATTTTCAGGCAAGATTGCGCTTATTACCCTTCTCGTGATTCTGATTCGGTCTCTTTTAGAAGTACAAGGAAAGTATATTTAAAAATTAATAAAATTTCACTTATTATGTGGAATCTTTATGAAATATTTCCTTAACAAAGATCATTGGCTCTTGTGTCTTCAATTTAATAATTAGTAAAATTTTCTTTCTTTCTAATAAAGGTCTTGGAATTCATCGCTTGGTTCTAATTTAAATAATTTCTTCGCCAAAAAACCAAAAAGTCAAGAATCTGGAAGTAGAGGAAGAAGAAGAAGAAAAAGCGATGCATCGAGTATTTATTCTGCATCAAGTAATATAAGTGCAGATATTTCAGTTAACGACGATAGTGAAAATGGACAACAGTTTCAATGTCCCTGTGGGTCAACTGATTTTAAGGCTTTTGTCAAGGATGGATCACCTAAATTGGTCTGTGCAAGTTGTAATCAAATCAATTAAATTTTAAAAACGATAGTATTCATATAGCAAAATTCGAGCGTTTATTATTTGTATTATACTGTAGTTTAAAAATGTGATATGTTTGTTTATTAGTATTTAAGAATCATAAATTTTATAGTATAAATTATCCATTGGACACCTTGTATTAATTATTATCTTGTAAATTATATTTTTATTTAAGTGAAAGTAAAGGCTATATATAATTTAGTAAACGTTTTATCACTTCCACACAGCATGAATTTTATTTATACGTTGTCTGAAACAATAGAAAAACTTATCTACATAAAACTGCAAATAACTACATTAATATTTTGGTCATTGCAAATACCCATTAGTTCTCAACCAATTTTCAACATCCTCTTTATCACGTGTTAACCAAGCAGTATTAACACGAATGTTTTCTAGACTTTGTTGTAAAGGTCTTAAAAAGTCTTTAGTATCCTTGTTAGAAAAGAAGTTTTCAACATCTTTGAGATCCGCGTCAGTTGAAAAAGAATCGGTACCATATTTAACTATAGCTGCCAATAAGCTAAGAGATTTTGAATATCGATCATGGAACTGTAATTAAGCCAAATATTAATATGTAAACAAATATTCATATATATATATAGACGAAAAAATTTTGATTAAAAAAAAAACATACAGTTTCCCAATTTTCTTTAACAAAATCCCACAGTGCCCTTCGCGACTTGCGATTGAACTGCAGGCTGTAAAATATACAATAAGGAAAATTTTAATCACCACATATTATGAATAAATTACGAAATAGATTACTAATAACTTATGAATACATTATGAGTAGCAGTTTAAATCTTATAAATTTCTCACCTAGAGACTGCATAAATAACGTCCTGGTTCTTAACTTCCTCTGATAGGGAAAAGTTTAAAGCACGTTTAATCAAATCTTCTTGTTGAGCGTATCCAAGACCAGTTAAAGCGACAAGTTTTTGGTCTACAGTATCGGCTTCGCGATAGATTTTCAAAATTGCTTCAAATTCATTTACACCACCACCATTACAAAGAACAATTTCGTAGACTGCACCACGAATATTAGGATGTAAGGCAGATTTGTCTTTTTTTTTTGTAAACAATTCAAATCTACGGAATGATTCCTTAATAACCCTAAAATATTTAAAATATTTGTTTGTCATAAATATTATTATAAACAGTAAAATAGATAAAACCAAATAGATAAAACTTACTCAGGATCTTTAGATCTTCCAGCAATTTTAATTACTAAAGTTCTCAACATAGTGATTAAATAGTCCTCATTTTCGGGATATTCCCAACCTAGTTTAGCGACTAGTTTTGAAACTAAATGACGTTGAAAGGCTAGAAGTCCTTGGTATACAGGCTCAGGTTGTTCAAACCACACGCTTAAGAGATCCGTTATACGAGAATTAATCTCCAGCCATACACTAATGATAAAATAAAAATTTCATAAATATATGCGACATATATGACATATACAATTTTATAAAATAATTCATTGACTTACATATATTTATCTTCTTTATCGAATTCATTAATGAGATTTAGCAAACCGCTCGTTTTTGCATAGCCGCTTACCGCCAAAGCACCAGCATCAGCAACTAATCCGACACGGTCACTAGTATCAAGTAAACCTTGCTTGATAGCATGACCCAATTTTGCCAATCGTTCAGGTGTATAATTTACACGGAAAATACCAGTTACACGAGAATTAAGTTTATAAAAATCAGCACCCTGTGGCAAGCTTAACTCAGTTTCTTTTGTAGTAAGGACTTTAGATTCAAATTCATCTTTAAAATGAGGTCCAAGGCTTATTCCCAGTGGCACCCACCAATATGTAGTATCTTCATCAGGATTGAGTTTTCCAGTTGAAAGGAAACGAGATTGGCATATATGTAACTTATTATTGGCAAGTTCAGTAACAGTCAAAACAGGATACTATATAATTTAGAATATTTAATATTAATAACACAATATTTTCAAAGGTTACAAAATTTATATAAAATGTACATACGCCAACAACCCTGGTCCACCCGGTCATGAATTGTCCGACATCGGTTCCACTTTCTTCGGTTAAAGCTTTCCATAAATCATCGGTGCTAGCATTACTATACTCGTAACGTTTCAAATATCGCCTAACTCCGGATAAGAAAACATCTACTCCTATGTAACTACTCAACATGCGGATAACAGAAGCACCTTTGTAGTAACTTATAGCATCAAAAATCTGGTGAATTTCACTATTAATACAAATAAAGTATTATTTGTTAATTTAAGCATTGTACAAATAAATAAATAACAAATATGTGCAAATAAATAATAATAATTATACATATAATAATAAATAATAATTATACATATGTATATATATATATATATATATACCTAGGATCATTTACGGGAACTTCAATGGGATGAGAGGATCTTAAGGCATCAAGTTGAAGTCCTCGTTGAAAGCCTTCCGTAACAAATCTATTAACATAACATTTATTTATTGACAATTTAACGAGGAATATCCAAATTAATAACAATAATAAAACTCACTGAGTCCAGATATCCCAATCAGGAAAGATCTTGTCCACAGCAAGGTATCCAACCCAAGTAGCAAAGCCTTCGTTAAGCCAAAGGTGATCCCACCTGGGTTTCAAATGTATTTTCATTTAATAAAAATACTCACCAAAAAAAAAAATATATTTATAGATGCATAATGATTAATTACCATTCCATAGTTACGAGATTACCAAACCACTTTTATCGTTATGAGAAGTTAATATAATTTATAATTATAATAATTATAATCTAATTAATTTATAAGTTACAATTATAATTTAATTAAAGAATATCTACCTGATGGGCTAACTCATGAGAAACAGTGTAAGCAATACGTTGTTTGAACTTGGCATCGGATGCTTTAGGATCAAATAATATAGCAGAAGTTCTATAAGTAATAAGACCCCAATTTTCCATAGCACCTAGATTAAAGAACATGATATATATTAATATAAAGATAAATGCACATATTGCAACCAGATAAGATAACTTACCAGCTTCAAAGTCCGGAATAGCAACCATATCACACTTTGGCAATGGATATGGAATGCCAAAAACTGTAAATAATAAATAAATGTGGATTAAATAAGTGGCATTAAAAAAAAAATACAAGAGCAAGATTATCAGTACCTTCAGCAAAGTATTCCAGAACCTCCACAGCAACGTCCAAAGCAAATTGACCGAGATGTTCGCTACCTCTTGTCGCGTAAGAACGAACCAAAACAGGTTTTCCACCATTATGATGGCCGGTAGTAGAAGCCTCAACATAAGCCAAATCACCAACTATAAATGCGATCAACTAAAATCGAGTTGGTACGAGTTAATGCACTAAATAATCATGTGGGGTTGAGTCAATAGAAATCAAGCAAATTTTTTCTAAGTAAATTTTTTTAAAACTTTAAACAATAATAACTCAACAAAAACTTAATCAAATTTAATAAAAATTTTTTTAAATAAATTCTACAAACTTATAGAATTTGTTTAAAAAAAATTTATTAAATTTGATCAAGTTTTGGTTAAGTTATTAATGTATAAATTTTTAAAAAAAATTCAATAAAAATAATTTGCTTTATTTCTATTGACTCACCCCATATTAAGAAAAATTTAAAACATACATAAGTACTCATAATTGGCGTTGTTGCAAATTTGACACACTTTTTGCCACCCTCATGCGGAGTCTCGGAGATCACGTTCATATTACTCAAAGCAGTCAATTCAGATGGAACAATCAAAGTGATGTCGAATGTTGCTTTAATTGCAGGCTCATCCCATGAAGGAAAAGCACGTCGTGCATCAGTTGCTTCAAATTGAGTCGTAGCTAAATATCTAAATAAAGAAGATTGGTAGAAATATTTTATAATCACATGAATACGTACGATAAAAGAACCGCGAAATAACTAAGATAAGTGTTATTTTGATCATCTACGCGTTATTTTGATCATCTACACGTTATTTCGAGTGCACCAATGTATATTACTATAAATATACTAATATATAAAGTGCGCATTATTTCGAGAACACCCATTGGCATTATTTTGAAATTTAGTAAAGAATCCAATTTTCGAAATAACGTTCATGATTATTATTTCGCGGTTTAATGATATATTTTAAGAATTGAAAATCAATTTAGAAATATACTTAGTATTCCCATCACTGTCTTTATAAGAACTTCGATAAAAACCATTCATTTTATCGTTTAATATCCCAGTAAATTCAAGATGCAAAGCAGCTTTAGCACCAGCAGGGAGTTCCTCGGGAAAAGTTAGAGTGACAGTCTGCTTTTGAGTATCATGAGAAATTTCTACAGCATTTTGGCTAGATTGCAGAAACCATATGCAAATTACATAAAACACAGAGGAATGATATATTAAATAATAACTATTAAATAATATATTAAGTACCTTTGATTAGTTTTCAAAGACAAGTTTGATATCTTTGCAGACTTAACTTGAATTTCATTCGCGTTAAGAATTATAGTTTTTGTATGTTGATTTATATTGAGACTATTAAAACACAAGTTATATATATATATTAACTAATGCACAAGTGCAGAGCATTTCCAATCGTGAGATAAATAAATTGAAGACTACATACTTGATAATCTCAGTTCCTTTAAAGGTGAAGGATTGAAGGTCCGGAGTCAAAGTCAAGTCGTAATGAGTTGGTCTAACATTAGTAGGCAAAACTTGACGTTTACTCGTATCAGCCATTTTAAAAATTTGATAACGAGATAAAAAATATGCAATGACAGCAACGATAATGGAAAAGAAAATAAAGCGGGTTCTAAAGCGATTCTCTTCTTTTTGTATCGTATGGGGGGTAGAATTCTTGGAAGTAGCCAGTTTAACGTAAAAGTTCTTCGAAGGTCAAAGAACCCTTGGAAATCAAATGAGCTGCAGGTGAAGTCTATTTATCTATCAGCCTTTACCCCTTGAATTAGCTGTACGTAGTATCAACATCTACAGATCGAGATAGTCCAAAAGTTTATCGGGTTACACAAGATAACAGCGAAATATTTTTCTATTGAATATGGATTGCTTTCATTATTATTTCTGTATTTGATCATAGATATAGATACTTAACACATGAATGTGTTGTGGGTCATATTAAAAGGGTCTAGTAGGAAAAAATTTCACTAGCCAATCAGATTTCGAGATCAGGTGTAACGTTGCACGATCAGGGAAATTCAAAACAAACGTTC